TTAAACATTTAACGGTCTGATTCTCCTGTGAGAAAGGTCTGTAGCTCACTATTTGTAGAATTTCAGTCTTTGAAATCTGTTTTTAATAAAATAGCTTTTGGCAAAAAATACACCAAGTCTACAGGGTATAATCAATTCTTAAAGTGTCTTTATCAGCAGATTTCTTTGCAGCATCAAACAGTACTTAAAAAACCTGCTCATACCTCAATTTATTTTACAGCTATTCAGCAGTTTGACTTCTCTGGTCTTTATGTCATTACTAATTGGGCAGCTCCTAACTTTTTAACACTGTAGTCCCAAGTCCCTAATACCACTTAATACAGTGCTACCCCACCATCCCAGCACCTAGTTGCATTTTTTTTGTTTGTTACACTGACTAAGTTTCTTATTTTAGATCCATTTACTTAATACACTGTATATTTGGTTTTTAGCTTTTTTTATTTTTATTATTATTAGCTGCCTATTTTAAATGTTCAGTGTATTCACACACATTATCTGATTTTTAAATATGGATGATTAAAAATTACGTTTGAGGGGGTTGGTGCTTAACCACTGAACAAGCAGATCGCACACTCGATGGGCTCCGATCCAAACAACAATATAAATGAAGATTTGGGCAAAAATAACACTCCAACAACTTACCCACATAGCCCCCTCTCCAGAATACCCTGCAGGCAAACACGGCCTTGCTGCACAGCAGCCTCACAGGCCTAGTTGGCCGCCTGGGGAAAGTGGAGACCACCGTGACACAACACACGCAATCTATTGCAGACCTCCAGAGAGAAATACAAGCGTTAAAGAAGCAGCAAGCACTCTCAGACCAGCAGTTTGCCACGCTTGAAGACACGAGACGCCGCAACAACCTTAAGGTCAGAGGGGTGCCAGAAGAGGTTCCAGCAGTGGAGCTTCCACACTTTATCAGATGACTACTGGGAGCGCTGATGGCTCCAAAACAAGCCAAAGGCGTAACTCTAGACGCAATATTCAGAGTCCCAAAACCCTGAAGAGTACCTGAAATGTGATACTGTGGTGAAATTTCGCAAAAGCGCGGGCAAACAAGCAGTGGTTGCTGCCCTCAAGGGGAAGGTGCCCGATGCCTTTGAGAACGCATCCCTCTCGTTCTATGCCGACCTCTCTGGTGATAGGCACATGCTGCCTGTCACGGCCCTACTAAGAAGCCACGCCATGCCATGCCATACAAGTGGAGATCCCCAAAAGCACTGCAAGTCACACAAGGAGACAAAACCCACTTAGTGTCAGACTTATGCGGGGCTGCCATCTATAATGATCAGGAAAAGAAAATTATGCTAAGTATGAAACAATTTTCCTTATTTCTGATCAAACGTATAGTGGTAGATTTCAAATACAGCTAATTGTTATAAAAACCAATGTTGAGTTGCATAAACCTAATAAACCTTATCAAAAGCCAAACAAGTAATCAATATGATATTGCCATAATATCTGCTCAGGCAAGTGATTGTACCCCATAAACTGATATTAAGCAACCTCCTGGTATTCCAATATAGGGAATATCCTGGAGCTTTATAGTGCCAGGTAGGAATAAAGGTCATGATAACCAAATCTATAAAAGTAGCACGTCTAGACAAAAAACAAGACAAACTCCTGTAAGAAAGACAACTGTCTTGCATCTGTCTTGCTATGGAAAATAATAAAATAGATAAGAAGAAAACCTCCTTAACGACAGAGGAAATTGTACAAGTTCTGACCAAAACATGGAACCCACGCTTCTTATTTCTCCTGAACAAAATGATATATAATGCTTTCCTTGCACATTAAATATTAATAATTAATAATATGAATAAAATCAGAATAAAAGAAAAAAAAAAGGGTGAGGAATTTAGAAAAATGTTTTCCAACTTCTGTAAAAGTCATAATACTGTTAGCTATTACTGCAATAAAACACAAAACATATTTGTATGCTGTGATTTCTTACAAGTACAACGATGCCCTCCATGTACAAGTTTCACAGAGTTTTGGAAAGTTACAGGATCAAATAAAGAGCTTTCCCATTTACATTTTTCTACATTGAAAATTTCCAGATTGGTTTGCTGGGCCTATGTTGCCTTTCAGAATTACCCCCATCATGGTGTAACATTTGCACTTTCATTGATGATATCGTCATTATACATTTTACTTTAGTCAAAGCACTCACATTTGTGTTCAGTGATATCAGACAAGTATAACAGTACGCCCCAAGTATAGGCTTTATAGGGTTTTGGAAAGTTATACGGTCAGACGTAACACTTGCAAATTAATTTATCCGGTATTTCTGCCTGGGTTGTCAGACAGGTCTCCAAATATATAATTAATAGACTAGCATAATTATATATAAATAGTACATAAAATACATTTAAAATTAAATGTATATATACTGTACATACACAACCCAGGCAGTGCCTCTGCAACCAGTCAATCGTGCTATTCCGGATGACTTGGATCAGTGGGATTGGCTACATAGGGCCTTCCTCTGTTGTCAGGCAGTCCACTCAAGGGCAGCAAACAACGCGCCCTCACTTTAGGAAAGGGTTAAAACATAGACGGCCTGGAAATTATAAACATATTTGGAAAAAACAGATGTCAATGTCCTTTTCTAATATAGAGGGATACTCAATGGATGGCACTTCTAAATCAAAACCTTGTCAAAAGCATAAGTTCTCTAGAAGTCTGTATTTGCTAATGTAAGAATTCACACTGCTTCATTTTCCCTTGAAGGTTTTAATATTTTTATTTATTGTGGCTTTTTTTTTTTCAAAATGCATTAGGAACTGGTAACTGAAGTGTCCCTTTACATTAAAAATGTATCAGGATCTAAATTATTCCAGTCACCTTTCTTGCAATGCAAAGTGCTATAATTTTATGAAATGACTGCTCTAGATTCTTCACAATGAAGGAATGACATTCAGGCTCTTTATTTTTTTCTTTTCAGACCAATGATAAATAGTGTAGTGACGTCTGGTTTCCAATCTGTTGCTAGACAGAGACTGATAAAGAAGGAAACTGAAAATTACTTCTATTTGCCCAGTCTGAAGGTTGCTGTATGTTATAAAATGGGATTTATTAGGAAATGAGAAATAAAATCCTTTTGGAAAATGTACGCTGTAACTGATAAGGATAAGCAGCTCCAAGGATTCAATGTGAATGAGCTGTATATTCTGCAAGTTATTTATCTTTGCTTTGACCTTTTGTGAGAACAATGGAATCTTCCTTCCTTTTAAAGCTAGATTACATCTGAACTCATACAGTGTTCTTAAACGGACATTAGCATCAGGGTCAGTGCAACCATAAGGTGGCACAGCCAGCCGCCTTAGGACGCAATGGGCTGGGGGCACAATGTCCGGATGATGGGAAGAAAGGGAGTGCACCATGCTCCCCCTCCTGTCAGTCACATTACGTAGCATGTCAGAGCAGACAGCAGTAGAGCAGTGGAGAATTGCTGGGGGAGAAGGAGACAGAGAGGTGATGTAAGGAAGACAGAGACACACAGAGGGGCTAGAAAAGGGGTAAGGAGACACACAGAAAGGCTGGATAAGGGGTAAGAGACATACAAAGGAGCTGGGGGAAAGGCACAGAGGGTTTGGGGAAGGGAAGAAAAGTATAAAGGTGCTGAGGGGATAGAGGCACGCACAAAGGTGTTGGGGGAGAGACACAGAAAGGAGCTGGGAGGATTAAAAGAGACACGAAGGGGCTGCATTGGAGTAAGAGGCATACAAAAGAGCAGGGAGGAAGTAGAGACACACAAAGGTAAGAGAAACACAAGGGTAAAAATGGACATAAGATACACTAAAGTGGGTGTAAGACACAAAAGGGGGTTAATGTAATGGTCTTAAGCAGGTCAGGTAAGAGACTTTGGCTAGGGTTAACATTTGGTTCTTTATTTGTAACTTTAGTCATGGTAATTCACAATTTAGTATAGCTATCAAGCCAAAATGGGAGGAGGAACTGATATAGAAGATGGTAAGTGAAAAATGGAAACTGAAAGAAATGAGATTTAGACAAACAGAACAGAACTGAAAGGTTTCAGAATTGCAAGTTAAAGTAGCAGCCCCCTGTTTCGGAAGGAGTACTGATAATTCAGGTAAATTATACTTTGCAATACTGGTTAGTAGCGTAGATAAGGTTAATATAAAGCAGGTTGGCAACCTTAAGCAGGTTAGTTTCAGGTAAGTTTATAGGAGCCAGGATCAGAAGCTCTTTCAGGTAGACCATAAACGTCAATCAATGTAAGGGCCCCCTCCGAGCAGAATGTGGCTCTTTATAGTCAGATGAAGTCATTCAATCAAGGTAGGTGAGAGAGAGATTGTGAATTAAACGATCACTATAGGGTCAGGAACACAAACATGTATTCCTGACCCTATGGTGCTAAACCCACCATTTAGGTGGTTTGCCCCCCCCACCCCTTTAGACCCCCTATAAAACTTGCCTTATTTCCAGGGCCGCATGGGTCTGCCGGCACTGGCGCCACCCCCTTTGTGACATCATCGAAATGGCACATTTTTAGCCAGTCCAATGCTTTCCCATAGATAGGGACAGGGTCAAATATCTTTTTGGCAAATCAGGACCTCCTCATAGAGATGCATTGAATCAATGCACCTCTATGAGGAAAATTCAGCTTCTCCATGCAGAGCGTGGGGACGCTGAACAGCAGGGCTGCTTACTGTGCAGCTCTGAGTCAGGAAGCCCCTCCAGTGGCCATCTAAAGAGTGGCCACTTGGAGGTGTCCCTAGAGGCAATGTAAACACTGCCTTTTCTCTAGAAAGGCAGTGTTTACATGAAAATGCCTGGAGGGAGCTATTATACTCACCAGTTCAGTACATTAAGCTGTAGTTGTTCTGGTGACTACAGTGTCCTTTTAAGACTAGCTGCTAGGGAGACCACTATTGGTGGAAAACTGAAATTGTAGAAATAAAACAAAAAAAAATGAAACTTGATTTTGGATGTCAGGATACGATCCTGACAGTTAAGATACACTAAAAGGAGTAAGACATTCAAAAGAGACGATAAGAAACAAATTCAAATATGGGGTTAAGAGACACACAAGTGAAGATGCATTTTTGTTTGGAGGGGAAGCTGCAAAATGCATCACTCTTTACCTATGTAGCCAAAAAGTCTTGCACGGGCCACAATTAGCATACTCCCTAGAGAGGACAGTTTACAACAATGCAAGTTTCTTTATTAAAGGCTGTATTTGTGATAGCAAGCTAAATTATTTGTTCAAGCAATTTGGATGAAATTCATAAAATGAACTACCGTTCAAAATGAAGAAACTAAATATTTTTAATTTGTCCCCAATATAACTGAATCAAATTAGACATGAAGGTCTAATGGGCAAGGGGTTGCTCAGGAATGAATTGACAAACAATTCCAGAATCAGCCATGCATAAACTGGACAGGCTGTCAATGATGCTCTCTGTAAAGGTAGGAGTGCCTGAGTTAGGTCTTAGCTGCCCACATAAACATATGTTTTACACTCCCAAGGCCATGGCAATTAATATTTCAGATATTACAGACAGAACATAAAGACTGTTAAAGGTATGGTTGGTGCTAACCTCTGTAATATCCTTTGATTATAACAAAGACTCTCATAAATAAGGTGGTGAAGAAACAATGATGAGCTATTCAATCCTATACCACTGTCAAATAAGTAGGACTAGGAAGAATTTGTGGTGATATATTTGCACAGATGATGGGTAGACATTTATTCAAGTATATGTTATATGATGACTCATAAAGGGAGCTCATAGATTGTTGTCTAGTGTAACAAGTTTGTTCTATTATATTCAGAGAGTACCATCACTGTATCAAGCATTTCACTATAGCCAATGTGCAATAAAATAATTAGTTGGCTATGTACCCAGTGTATTCAAGTTTTTATAAAACCAAATATTTTATAGGCACCTATTCCATATGTGGTTACCTCTATAGCCCTTGTATCCACTTATACTATCCCACTTGTGGTTCCCTGCTGGTTTTATGGGTCCCTTTCATTCACCCCTCTAGTGGTCTCTCAGTCACAGATGGGTTGCGAAGAACAAGAGGGAGTGGAGACACTAAAGTGACAATCTTCTGTAGCTCTGGTAGTCATCTCAAACGTGTTCTCTTTTTCTCTCCTGTTCATGTTATTTATCACCTCACATTATTCCTCTCTTGATCCTTTTTACATTTGTGTTTAGCCTATTTCTGTTCCACTTGTGATAACTTGTCCCTTTTGAGTTGTCTTCTCTGTCCGTTGAGTCTGTTTATGAATCACGTGGGTCATCTGACCTACAGCATTCCATGTGTCGTGTCGGACAGCAAAAAGAGGGTAGTGGTACAACACTATTAGTCTTTTAGGTAGGACAAAAATATGCCACTATCATCATCTTCTGCCTGATGGTTAAGTTGGTGCTGACTTTAGGGTGTTTTTAGGCTCACACCATAAACACCATATGTATTTCTATACTTCCTTTTGTAAATGTGTGCCGTCTTTATTACACGATCAGCTCATTGCACTTCTGTAAATAAAAAAAATAAAAAAACACTCTTTCAAAGACCTATGCTTACATCTAAAGTAAACTTTACATTCTCTGTTACCCAAAGATAGATCAATGCACGCATTATCAAGAAACTCAAATATCCCTCTGTTACTAGACACTTTATGGTAAACAGAGATAAGTATCCATCTAACAGACACTCGTAAAACCTCACGCAAATTGTGAGCCTGAAAAGGATAAGAATACATCCAACATCAGGATGTAAATAAATACATTTTTGAAATGTAAGTGCACTCTTGAAAGTTGATATGCAGTATATTACATAATAAAACGAACAAACCGTACAGTCTATTATGATGCCTATAAACAAATAATGGGTGAACTTAAACGGACAATTCACGTTAGAGTGTTGAATTTTGCTTTTAAACTCAGAGACCACATATGCTTATATATATATATATATATATATAAGCATATATGTGAGAGCATCACAGCTCGTGATCTCTGGCCCAGTTGGGGACATACAAGCAAATTATGTGACTCCACCCCTGCTGTTATTCAATAACAGGCCTTGAACATACTAGGCAAAGGGGCCTGTATATTGTCCTGATTGTCCAACACATAACCACTATTTGTTATCAGAAATCATGTAAGAGCAAACTAAGCAAGTGCTGGGTAAGTTCCCAGAAAATGCCCCCAAATATTTACGTGGCTAGGTTCTCAGCTTCTTGGCACCATCTGCAGTCATCAATAAAGTTTTTTTTGTTTGTTTATTTTTTAAACACAGACCTATCATTAGGCCTTACCATGACCAAAAATATATATTTTTTTCTGACGTCCCAAAAAAAAAAACTTGGTGAGAGTGCTGCCCCTTTAGACCAGCCTCCGCTGGCGACGACGTAGAAGTGAAGCCCTTCGATATTTGCCGGTCTTCTTGAGGTAGCTCCTCTGCTGCCAGTCTTTTTGATAGCCACTAGAGGCATGTTTTATAGCAACATTTATTATATTGCCTTTTTATATAAATATTGCCTTTTCTCTGTCAAGGCCATGTTTTACAATGCCACACAAAGGGAACAGCGACTACGAACCAATACTATATTTAGTTATAATGGCTTTGGTGCACAATATACTTTCAGAGCACAGTTCCTAAAGTCACCAAAAATGTGACACCAGGGAACAAATGTAAAAATGTATGACATATTTTTCTTTTGTTTTGTGCTTCATTATGCAAATGTCTGGGGTATAGTTGTATAGTAGAAACCATATATATATATATATATATATATATATATATATATATATATTATAATGTGGATACAGAAATGTTTTTCCATTTCTATCTACCAGGTCTGCTTACATAAAACTACAGAACTAAGCACTAAGTTGGCCTCGATGATTTCTTTCATCTCACAGGTGTATGCATTCACATTTGCAAGCATCTGATCTTAAATGGATGTGACTAAGCTTTGAAATCTTTTTAATCAGGGAGCGCTTCTCATACAACTTATCACTTCCTGATAGATTTGAAAATTACTTCTATCAAAGAACACATGCTTTCATGCTGCATGATGGGGAGACAGCGGAGTTTATTTACGACATGATGAATTAGCTGCCTACTTAAAGAAATCAGAATAAATGACCTGGTTTATGCAACTCCTGTAAATAACCAGCAAAGCTAAATAAAATACAGACGGTCACATTATAAGCTCCCATTCAGAGTCATAACAGATAAAATATGTCTACTTACCAAAGGATTTGATTTGTGAACTAAAATGTTTTTTTGTTTTTTTTTATAGAATTCATATAGAGAGTGATAATGAAATTGGTGAAGTTTCTCTCTTTGGGAGAATCAGTCTCCATCTGTCTTGTTTTAATATGATATATCCATTTTTTTGTAGTTCTGAATCAGTGTGTCAACAAAACCCACAAAGCAATAGGTCTTCCAATGAGTTCACCAAACAACCAAACTTGACACATTCACTCCGCCCAGTGAGTTACACGTATTAACTATGGTAAACACATGAATGTCCAATGGACTTGAAGTCCAACGGACATAAAAGGATCCCTAATGGATGTAAACCAAATAATTATTGATGTACAATTTTATTAGAAATCTGTAGGGACATACAATTTCAAAAACAAAACATTAAAAAGCAAAATAATGGCTCCACAGATAAATTGGAGGAGAGTGTATGTGCTGGGACTGAGTAGGGGTAGGCTGGAGGGGAAGAAAGTAGCAATGCCAGAGGAGAACCCTGTGGCCCCCTTTAACCAGTTTGTTAATCCTTGAATAGGAGTGATGGTGAGACAAGGAGGAATCCTTTATAGTTGTGCACCCAGACTTAAGTAATCTACTTTCAAATATGATAACAAGGTCAAAGCAAAGTATCTTTACATATAAAAATGTTACCTTGTATATCAATGTAAGCAGGAAAAAACAGACTGGACTATTCCAAATGGTTATATGTAGATTACCCTCAAAAGACAGGAGACATGCATCAGCCTTCATGTGGCTATCTATGGTATATCGACTTCAAGGTCGCTAGCTAAAAAACAAAATGTATACAAAAAGAAAACTTGATGCAAAAAGAGAAGGTGGTTCTCCTGTCTGCTGTATTTCCCACAGAGTCTCCCAATTATTCCCCTAATGAATCAACCAAACATCCCCGGTATAGTCCTTATATCAACATACCACAACTTAATAATCCCCCTCAACAGTCTACTAAATCACCATGAGTGCTAAAAACAAAACTGTGCTGTGATAACAAAAGGAAAAAAGTCAGCCAACGCGCCTTTCAGCGCTACTAGAGCGCCTTTTTCGTCTGGGTCATTCAACAAAGGCGCTCTAGTATCGCTGAAAGCATTTCCACATACATTATGCATAAACACACACACAAACAAACACACTTTATATACAGGCCCTTTGTACACATTATACACACCTTAAACACAGATGCACATACACAAATTACATATACAGGGAGTGCAGAATTATTAGGCAAATGAGTATTTTGACCACATCATCCTCTTTATGCATGTTGTCTTACTCCAAGCTGTATAGGCTCGAAAGCCTACTACCAATTAAGCATATTAGGTGATGTGCATCTGTAATGAGAAGGGGTGTGGTCTAATGACATCAACACCCTATATCAGGTGTGCATAATTATTAGGCAACTTCCTTTCCTTTGGCAAAATAGGTCAAAAGAAGGACTTGACAGGCTCAGAAAAGTCAAAAATAGTGAGATATCTTGCAGAGGGATGCAGCACTCATAAAATTGCAAAGCTTCTGAAGCGTGATCATCGAACAATCAAGCGTTTCATTCAAAATAGTCAACAGGGTCGCAAGAAGCGTTTGGAAAAACCAAGGCGCAAAATAACTGCCCATGAACTGAGAAAAGTCAAGCGTGCAGCTGCCGCGATGCCACTTGCCACCAGTTTGGCCATATTTCAGAGCTGCAACATCACTGGAGTGCCCAAAAGCACAAGGTGTGCAATACTCAGAGACATGGCCAAGGTAAGAAAGGCTGAAAGACGACCACCACTGAACAAGACACACAAGCTGAAACGTCAAGACTGGGCCAAGAAATATCTCAAGACTGATTTTTCTAAGGTTTTATGGACTGATGAAATGAGAGTGAGTCTTGATGGGCCAGATGGATGGGCCCGTGGCTGGATTGGTAAAGGGCAGAGAGCTCCAGTCCGACTCAGACGCCAGCAAGGTGGAGGTGG